TACACTGTCCCTAAACCTCTCCCGTTACACTGTCCCTAAACCTCTCCCGTTACACTGTCCCTAAACTTCTCCCGTTATACTGTACCTAAACCTCTCCCATTACACTGTCCCTAAATGTCTCCCATTATACTGTCCCTAAATCTCTCCCATATACTGTCCTTAAACATCTCTCATTACACTGTCTTTGTCTTTGACTTTGTCCACCCCAGTCCAACACAGGCACTTCCACATGATTACACTGTGCTTAATCCTCTCCCAATGTATTGCCCCTAAATCTCTCTCAAAAAGATTTACTTGTAACAATTTCCTTTTCCAGGTGGAGTTGGTGTATTGGGAATTGTCGCAGATATTCACTTGCAGGTATAGCAGGATCCCACAGGTGGCCGGAACTGGGCCATCCCCATGAATCTGGGGCTAGTGTTGGTCAGGAGATGATGCTTTAACATCCTGTTTGTCTAATCTAACCCCTGTCAGTACAGAGAGAAAGTGTCTTCACTTCATTCCTCATTTGCTGCGCTTCATCCAATCTGCTCATCAATTCATCAGCATGTCAAATTCAGTGTATACCTTTCCACCATGAAAACCAACCCTCCAGACAGCCCCATATAAATAAATGTTTTGATTACGAACTTACTTGATCCATAAACACAACACAAATCGAGACCTCTTCTAGAATTTAAAAAGCAATGCAGAATTTCAGGAAATAAGCGGGTGATTGAAGAAGCAAAGAAGCAAAGAGCTGAATGTTTTTCCACAGGAGAGCTGATGATGAACTGGGCATGTGTTAAATAAGCTGCTGTTGGGAGTAGTTCAGGGAAACAGCATGATTGTGTCACTGGAGATGTGAGGAGATGACATTGCTGTCATGTGTCTGACTGGTTTGCTCAGTTTGTGTGGGCATGTTTCACCCATCTGTGCTGCTGACCTGGGAAGGAATGTGAAGTTCCGTTAACCCTGCAGTCACCACATCAGAAATAAAGTGATTGTTTGATGTGGAGGGAAGAGCACACAGTAGTGGGCAAAGTAGCACTGTCTTGAGGTACAGTGCAGCAGCAAGCAAACACCTTCCACAGGGTCTCACTGTCTCTTCCTCCCACACAAACAGCATCATGGACCTAGAGGTTTGACACTGCAGAATGCATAACTTCATTACAGATTAATAGGCTTTGTTTCCGTATGGTCTGATCTCCTTGTTTACTTAGTGGGACTCATTTTACAGTAATAATGAGATGTGGTTTACTATGAGACGAGGTTTACTATTGTTGAAAAGAAAGATATATATATAGATATATATATATAAATATACAATATCACAAAACCAACCTTTCCTTCTAATGCCCTGAGTAACCCTCCAGGTGAGGTTGTTGGCTTGCTCGCTGAGCTAGATGGTTACCGTACAGACATTTCGTCACCATGCCAGCTCAGCGAGCAAGCCAACAATCTCATCCATAACTTGAGCTACAAATCTATGCAAGAACCTTAAAACCTCCAGTTTTTTAATGTTTATGCCACACACTAGTTTAAAATCCGCTTTGGGAGCACAAAATATTACAAAGTCTACATTACCCCAATTACAGCTGGTCAAACTGGAGTTGAAGCTGTACTTCCTGCTCCCAAGATTCCTATCTCTTGGTTCTGATGTTCTCTGGGGTGTGTGGGACCTCCCTGATTTGAGTGGCTTCTGTTAACTAGTTATCTGCATTATTTCCAAGTACAGCGGCTGAGCAGTAGTT